GAGAAAATTTTTGTAAAGGAAAAAGTTGCTTCAAATCATCTCAGGAACCCCTCATTTCTCGAAAATAATAACAAGATCGGATTTCTATTAAAATATATGTTTGAATAATGAAGTTTACCCTAAAATTGTTCACAGTAACATTTTTATAATATCGGGAATTCTAAAAGAAAAAATGATGGACCAGTTATTCTGACCGGTTTCGCAGTTGTAGTAATTATACTGTTCACTAGTGTGTTACATTTTGTTAAAATACAAAAACCATCTTTGACAAAATTCATCATACATAATAAAAATACATAGACAAGTTATATTATAAACATCAGAAGAACTTATAGAATACTGTTACCTTAAAATCAATTGCAGTCATTTTTATTTGGCAAGGATTCACAGATTTGAGAGTCATACGGTTTACTTGCAGATTGAAACTCTTGCACTCTTATAGTTTCCTGTCGTAGCAAGCTCTTTCGAAAGTCTAAAGTTTGTTTGTTTTTGCAGCTCTGGACCCAGCTCTCCCCAATTTCATACTTGCTGGGCCAGGCGAGCGAGTAGCTCGCGGTGATGCAAATTACGTAGAAGTCATTCATACTGACGCTGGTTTCTACGGATACGTAGACCCGATTGGGGACATCGATTTCTATCCAAATGGTGGTTCCCAGCAACCTGGTTGTGTTTCCAACATTTGCTCCCATACGCGAGCGTACAAGTATTTCGCAGAATCCATCAACAATCAGGCAGGTTTCGTTGGGTACAAGTGTGAAAGCTACTCGAAGTTCAGAGATGATATTTGCGACTCAAGTCCTAAGGCTTACATGGGAAGCATGAAACCGGATTATGAGGCCAAGGGCAAATATTACTTAAACTCGAACGCAAAATCCCCATATGCTTTGGGTGACGTTGCACTTAAACAATCAAGCGCTTAATGATTGATGCGCCTTGAATGCGTACGTTTAATCACAGTTTTTCAGAAAACATTGAAATATGAATACTATTGTTGTGTCATGTTGCTACGTACATGCTCTTGCTGAACTGAACCAATTATTGTAACACAATGAAAATAAATTAGTCAATCATTACAATTATTGTCGCGTGCATCATTCGCGTTTTCGACAACATCGGCGATATTTTTGTCAATGTTGCACTGGAAACGCAGCTATTGAGAAAACTCGATCATCGATCTTTTACCAAATATCGTAGAATAGAGGACAATTTCTGAATTACTAATTCATGAGATTCGCAAATTATGTAAATTGGATTGCGTGTTTTGAGGCGTGTTTTGACGTCTTCGCAGGACATTTCCGATACGATATTTCACCTACAAATTTGAATAACAGGTTTTATAAGGTTTATTGATTGTTTACAAGCGTGATTCTATTAGTACCACTAATCACTGTGAAGTGAAACTTACCACTAAACGCTGTATATTAGTTTTTGATTCGATTTCAAACATATTATTTATGCGCCATTTATACAGGGTGAGTCTCGTAACATGGCGTCATCAAATAACTCATAGAATATTTGTTGTACGAAAAATTATTTCAGATAGGAGTTGCATGGATTCGAGAGGGGGACCTGGGTCAACCGGACAAAATTGTCCTACTACATTGTGCTAACAGTCACGTTGATTCATGGTTAATTTCCTAATGCAACATAATTTATTTTTGCTAATATCTCGGTAACTATTTATTTTAGATCATACTTGGTATAGAGTACTTTTTGATGTAGAATTTAATGCTTGATACGAATTCGGGAAAAAATATTAACCATTTCATTGAAAAAATTGAAGGTGACCTTCGTATCTTGATAAAAAAGCAAAA